AGGGCAGTGTCACTGGCCCTCATATGTGGGATCCGAACCGGGGCCCTCTGGTGTCCCAAGCCAGCTCTTAACCATTGAGCCACCCGGCCGGCCCTAAATGAATTTTTTCACTATACTTTTTACTGTTTAGATCATTTCACAATTAAAGTAAAAAGTATCCTGATATAGCTTAACATTGGGATCTTACTATAATGCCTGATAGAATCCCTTGTCAGGTTAGAATGTCGGCACTTTGTTCTGATTAATGTTAGGTCTTTGGTGTTCTTGCCCGTACAAATTAGCCACTGAGTTAGTAAATTTTTTTCTTAGGTGTTTGTGCTTTCCTAAAAGTCTTCAAGTGCAGATCCAGCATCTCATAATAAGTTACAAACTGTACTGCTTCTATTTTTAGAGCTTTTACTGTGAGGTGAAGAATTATTATACTACCCATTGATGTTTTAATAATTTCCAGACTTTATTGATTTTTATATTCAAATGTGTGTTTTAACATTTCAGACTCCTTTGTGGCATCCTAATGCCAGCAGTATATTTGTTAAGTTGCCTTATTTTTCTAATACTTAATTTCTCGATTGATGCCTTTTTTGGAGACCTAAATGAATGAGTAAAGTTGGTGGTTACCTTCTTGTGAACTTTCCAGTAATGAAATGTTAAATTGTTTTTTGCAGAATTCTGCCATTCTGGATTCTTTGGTAAAAGTTCTTTAGGTTCCAAAGTTAAGTTTGGGGAGGGGGGCAGGGAACATAAAATGAAAGAAAAACTCAGTGCAAAGTGGGAAATAATTTCCAGACTATAATAGATATGCCAAAGACTTCTGCTTTCAGCCAAGGTGGGGTAACAGGGACTGGACTTAGTCTTCTACTTGAAATAACTAAAAAACTGCAAAATATATGAAGCAATGGGTTTCAGGTATTGGATATCATGGACTTTCATTGTCTCGTTCAGGAAATATAAATGGCAATAAATTAAGCAGATTTCACTCTCCTTTCTGATGTTTAATTAATACTTCTTTGGCCCATAATTCATAAGTGAATGTGAAACAAGAATAAAATGAAGTGTCTGTGCTGTGCTCTGATAGGCCATATGGGGGTTGGGTGAAAGAATCTAGACTTGAGAGGTTTCCTTTGACCTATAGTGTTTTAAAAGTTAGAAAATTTCACCTAAACCCCCAGATTTGTAGCATTTCCATTTAAGTCTTTAGGCATTTAAAAGGCAGCAGCCCCTTTTAAAGGGGTTTGTCAACTGATAGTCGTTGGCACCAATTCAGCGTCAACAAGAATCCTGTTTGGGGTGCAGTGAAGAAGAAAACTTTATTCAGTGCAAATAGCTCAACTGAGAACAACATGGCTGTTGGAACATCTCAATAGCGTTATAGCTCAGTTACAAAGCAGCACCGTTGTAGAACAGCACAGCTGTGAGGTGGCCCTAGGGCGAGATGGCCTTGGGGCCTACTGGCCCTGCTCTGCTCATCTGTTCCAGCTGCTCCCGTCCATTTTGCTCTGACCTGCTCTGCGCCATGCCAGCCTACTCTGCTGTGCTCTGATCCTGAGAGACGTCTTCAGTGTTTCAGCTCCAGCCAGGAAACATAGTCTTCAGTCTTTGGTGGAAAGGGAAAGTGTGCTCTCTAAGATAGAGGGGAGCTGACTTACAGAGACAGACATCCCTGCCCCTGGCCCCTGACTGGTTCATCCTCAAGCAAATGAGGACTCCACATCGCCTCAGTATGACTGGTCCAAAAGGCACCATCCTGATTGGTCAGACTGGAGCTGCTCTGATTGGTCAGTGAAGATGCTGATGGAGGATATACCTGTGCAGCTCCGATTGGATGGAGAAAGCCTCAGTCCTATTGGTTGAAATACAATTCCAGAACTGCTTTATAAGGGCTGGCTCAGATGGCAGGAACACAGTGCAGACAGGCAGTTCAGTGCACGCTTCTCCCTGAAGTGTGGTTTGTGTGAGAGGCTCCTGTTTAGAAACGATGTCTAGGTTCTGCTTTTAGATTTGAGCCCTTAGCCACTAGGAGCTCATCTTTGTGGGTGTCTTCTTTCTTGGGGTCTACAGGTGTATGCTCTCAGATATCACAGCCCCCTCCTGTTTGGTCCACCTCCCTCACTTATGTCACCTGGCTGGCCCCAAGTAAATGTGAATCATCTCAGAAGGTTTCTGTTTCATATTTAAACATTCTTATGACCCTGAAATATCTGGTGGTAGCTACTTTAAATGCTTATAACATAAATGAATAAATTATGTTTTAATTTCAGTATGTGTTTGACCTCTAAAAGGCAAATGTACTTTAAAAAACACATTTCTTCTTTCAGATATGTGGGGTTTTTTAAAAAAAGTTTTCTTTAGTAGATAAAACATTCATGTGGTTTTGAGTATAGTGAAAAGTCTCCTTCCCGCTTCTGTTCTCTATTGGTCCGGTGCAGGATGCTCCCTCCCATCAAAGCATAAGCAACTGCAAACACATATTCTTATTTTCCCTCCTTTTTACTCAAAAGGTGGCTTACTAAAAATAACGTTCTGCCTTGTGCTGTCTTTACTCTTGACATATCTTGAAGATCTTAACATATTAGTAGAGAGCTCCTCCTGTTTTTGGTTGTTTTACGGTTGAAAAATGTTTCATTGTTTCAGCATATTGTAATTTATTTAACAAGTACCCTCATTGAAGGACATTTGGATTTTTGTAAGCATTTGCAATTTTGAACAATGCTAAAGTTAGTACATTTGCATGTATGTCATTTCACACACACATGAATGTGCAAAGTATAATACATATAATAAATTCTCCAAGTGGAATTGCTAGGTCAAAGCTACATGCATATGTTATTTTGATATGTATTACAAATTGCCCTCTGTAGGGATTGTAGCATCAGATGTTACTACTTAAAACTAATACTGGTATGTGGAACACAGTTTTAAAAAGAATATTTACTCTGTTTTTGCTTTCTTTGCTGAGTTAGTTATATAGTAGGTTATCTGAATTTTGGTAAGAGTAATAGGATTGTTCTAGATCATTACTTTCTACTACTGGTCAAAGACCCTCAAGGGGTTCTCAGATTTATATGCTAAATGAACATTAACTATGTAGAAAATAATGTCTCACATGTGTACTATATATTTTAAATGTACGTAGATGGGATTACGTTTAATAAAATGCCTGTTCATTTAATAGTGTCACTGCATTCTTCGTTCATCTAATAATAGCTCAGCATCTTATCAGTCATTCCATTGTTTTAAATGACCCTTGGATTTTGCTGGCATGTTAGCTTCATTTTGTGTCCTGTCAATTTTTTCTAAGTAGCTTTGTCTGGAGAGATAAGAGAACAGAACCAAAAGACTATGCATATACTATAAGTCTCTGTTTGAATATTTTATAAAAATAATCTTTTTCTTATAGATGTTCTTTTAAGGACCAGCCTGCCACCACCGTTCCGAAATTATAAATATGGTAACTATTTTTTCTTATTCTTTTAAAACATATTAATATAACTTCACATTAGTTTTATGTTAATATGAATTTAAATTTGGTTTTCAAAAATGAATTTACTATCTGTAAATAAAAACCAATATGGAAGTTTATTTAGAAATACAGGAATTCTAGTAGTATGTTGTTAACGTAAATTGTAATAGTGTAGAGAAGTGGTCCATTTGTGAGCAATAACATGTTTGGCAAACTGTCTAAAATGAATTTATTTGCCAGGTAATCAGAAAAGAAGAAATGATTAAAGACTAGGAATTACAAGAAGAGATTGAACATTTTCAATACCAGTAACTTGAGCATGTTATATAGTAATTTTTTATGTTGCAGTTGTTGATTTTAACATGTAGTAAGAAGGTAAGAAGCTGGGTTTCCCTCTTCGTTATAGAGATGTCGCAGTTATTAACCTTCAGCATGGTGAGACTCACCAAACGTTGAATTTGAGACTTCTCTTGAGAATTATGGTGTACCTAATAAATATTTCTGTTAATTGGTACAGACAGCTTAAAGTATAAATATTTTATTAGCTTAGATCATTTTTTGGAGTGGCTTTTAATTCTGTTCCCATTTGTTAGAGCAACTTATGACCTAAAATTCTTTGAAATCACAAGCTTCACCATGTGTATGCATTTTAATATCCAGAGACTAATTGTGAGGTTATAAGGAGTAGTCAAGCAGAAGTTGATGGCTCTGAGTGGAAAGTACTTACTTATTGAACTTAAAGAATTTACATACTAAATATTGAGTAAGAGAAAAGAATAAAAAGCATTATTAAGTAAATATGAAACTTCTTAATTCTGGCTTTCATGCCTTGAAATATAACCTTAAACTTGAATCAACCTACAAATACCATTTCAAATTATAATAGAATTGTTATATATGGTTTCCCTTTTTGCGCTTTTTGTGTGTATATCCAAACTTGTGTTCCATGTTAAGTTCTTTTGAAAGGTAAGTTTTAGGTAATGAAAGCATTGGAATGTCTGACTGCTAAGCATCATGGTAGATAATGTACCTTTTATATTATTTCACCTTATTACCACCCTTTCATCTCAGTATTTCTATACTATTCGGAAGAATCGGCAGAAAAAAAAAATGAGTACGTTTATCTGTGAAGAAATTAGAGAAGCTCTAGGGTTTTGACAGACTTGAAGTGACTCAGGCCTGAGTTTGGCTGTTTAATAATCTGCTGCTTTGTGTTCAGTAAGAAAGGCCCAAGTGTTACTTTCTCACCTGTCATTGTCCCCCTGTACTGCTACATGCCCTGTGGGAGCAAGTACACTGGGTGTTGGGGAGTGGAAAGGGCACGGAGTCAAATTTCAGTTTTGTTAGTTGTGGTCTCCTGTGCCCTTGGACAAAGGGCTGGCTCTCTCATCCAGGCCACCGGGAGTCTGAGATTTCTCAGAGCCTTTCATTTATAAATGTATTCCTCCCATTTAATTGGCATCTGCATCTATTATTGATTTACCTTGAGCACTATATTCCTACAGCACAGGGGATGTTGTCTTATTTTTAAATCCTTATTGCCTAGTCATGATGTAGTGTATAATAAATGTTGGTTGTGTTGCAGGGCAAGGCTGCTAATCCTCTTGTTTCCTAAGGCTGTGTGAGATTAAACAATGCACATGCGAACACATTAAATACTCAACAAATGGAAGATATTATTTTTAATTTTATGAGGTCATTTTCCTCAAGGAATTTGCATTAAGGAAACAATACCCACAGATGTTGTTTTTTATAATAATGGAAATTGTATTAAAGAAGTAAAAACAAATGAAATATTATTTAACGAAGAAAGGGACGTTAATGCAACATCTTTTGGCTAGCTTGTCATTTTTCCTTTCTTACCCTTTTCCCAATTTCTATTGGAGCGACAAATCTGGTGAAAATTTCTGTTCAAAGCATTTATTTTCTGCTAAAAAATGTGACTCCAAAAAAATGGGATAGAGTAAGGTGGTTCACTTGTCTTCTATTCTAAGGGAAACGTGCTGAGTTGACCTCAGGTGATGGCATGCACACAGTTGTTTGTGTCAAAGACCAAGGCTTCAAAATATCTTCATACAGTGATCTTTAATTTAGTGATATGCAAAAGTAATTTTTCTTTTACTGTCTACTAGATTTTTAAGAGAACCTGGTCATAAGTTAGGGACTTAAACTTCTCAGTTTCATAGTCACCTTTGCCTCATCTCACTTTAAGAATTTGAAATGAAGTTTTAAAATAATCTTTGTAAAAAGACTTGTTTTTTTCTTTCAGATAAATTAAAGATTATTCATCAAGCACATAAATCAAAGGTACGTTTCATATGTACAGTATCTGGCACATAGCAAGTAATCAGTGTTGGACTTAGTGAATAAATGAATGAAGACATGTACTTCTAAAATAGTTTCCATCATAATAGCATTTTTATTCTGTCACTACTCTTTCTACAGCTTTATTCTTCCAGTAAAGAGAAAAAAAACTCTTAAGTCATATCCCTGTTAGTAGTAGATCCTTTAAAAAAGTGCTATTTTTTTTAAAAAGCATGCATTTATATATCAAGAAAATATTTAACATAAAATAAGCATAAAACTTGGTAAATTCATATTACATATAAATGAAGTCACTTATTATGTGGCAGTTCAGTGTATTTAAATTTCTGAATTCTGTACCAGAAGAAAGGAGCCAAAAGCAAATAAAAATACCCTGCTTTTTCTGGCTTGAATGTCTCTGTGTGTAAGAGAAGTCCCAGGGCTGTGGCTCTGGGGACCAAACCTAGTTCCACAGAGGGCATGGCCTGCCGTCCTAACACTGTCTTGACTGCCCCCAGAGAGAACTGTTTATTGTGTGTTTACATTTCTGCTTTGTTAACTTTTTTTTAGAGTAATTTTTTTTTTTTTATGAAGCCACAATCAAAGGTTCACTTCTTATACAGACGGACAAGAGTGGTCCTTTTACTTGAATCTCAATGAACTTTTATTGACTCCTCATTATAGCAGTAATCTTACTCTATTATATGAGTTATGATAAAAATATATAGTGAATGTTTAAATTAAAAAAAATATTACAGTAAAAGACACAATTGCCATTAATCCCCCTCAAAAAACTCCCCCTCACTTCAAACACACTTAGCCCATCATTGCCCTTGCCACTTTCTGAAGCAGTTCTGGAAGTGCTCTTTCCTGAGTGTCTTTAGTTGCACTGCTGTGGCTACCTCGATGTCCTGAATCAATTCAAAATGTTTACCTTTCATGGTCATTTTGACTTTGGGGAAGAGCCAGAAGTTGCATGGTGTCAGATTCAGTGAATAAGGTGGATGAGGACACACTGTAATATTTTTATCTGACAGAAATTGCTATACCAGAAGCCATGTGTGACACGGAGCCTTTCCGTTGTAATCGCAACATACAGTGAATGGTGCTCCGAGTGCCATCCAATGGAAAGGCAGGGGTCTTCAATACGGGAAGCAGTGTGTTGTACCTTATAACAGTATGTGACAAGTTTCAATTTGCTTGGTGCATTCAGCCAGGTGTGAGCTACAATTGAAACAATCTGTGCTTTTTTAAAAATTAGACTTGGTTTGCTTGGTTTTTTTGGGGGGTGGGGTGGTGGAGGGGAACAGTGTTGGGGAATTGGGGAAGGGGAACAGCCAAGTTGTCCTTTTGTTCTTCAGTCTAGTTGTGGAGGACGTCGCTTCACTGGCCCATGTTGGTATTGTGATCATTGCGCTCTTCCTGGCTGAGGCAGTCGCTTGCTGGCCGTTGGACGGCCGCTCACGGTGACCCACCGCAGCTCACAAAAGTGCAGGCCAGCTGCCAGCCAGCCCTATTGCAGCCTATGCTGTTGCTGGCCACTCACGGCAGCCCAGCTCCAGGTCAAGCTGTTGTTCATAATCTTAGCTGTAGAGGACGCAGCTTACTGGTGCATGTGGGAATTGAACTGGCAGCCCTGTTGTTCAGAGCTCGTGCTCTTACCAACTAAGCCACTCAGCTGGCCTGAGACAAGCTGTGTTTTAAAGTGTGCCGTAAATCATCCTCCATCACAACAACAGCCTGTGGCACACATCACTTCTGGTATACGGCAATTTCTGTCAAATAAAAACATTATAGTGTGTCCTCACCCACGTATTCACCAGATCTGGCACCATGCAACTTCTGGGTCTTCCCCAAAGTCAAAATGATTCAGGACATTGAGACAGCAATAACAACACAACTAAAGAGGACTTCCAGAACTTCTTAAGAAAGTGGCAAGAATGATGGGATAAGTGTGTTTGAAGCGAGGGGTGGGGGGTATTTTCAGGGGTATTAATGGCAATGTGTCTTTTACTGTAATACATTTTTTTAATTTAAACATTCACTGTATTGTTTGATCACAGCCCGTACAAACTACTCAAGGACAAGGGAGCATATCTTATTCTTCATATCTCCAATAACTAGCACATTCGTAAGAGTGTTTACATAACAATTTTTGAATGAAGTATTTCTTTGTGAACTTGCTTAATTTCACTCTCTTCTCTAGTCATAGATGCCCCCCATAAACTTAATCATCTTTCAAATAAATGTATACCAGAGATTACAAAGAAAATGGCATGAGGGTATGTCTGTTGACAATGAATTAGTAACTTAAAAAGAAATTTTTTTCCTGTACCTTAAAATGACATACATTTATTCTCTTATAGTTTTGGAGGCGAGAATCCTCAAATCAGTTGCATCAGGCTAAAATCAAGGTGTTGACAGGGCTGGTTCTTTCTAGTAACTTTATTTTTTGATACCCAAGATTGTATATACAAATTTAATAGTATCCACTGTCGGGTGCTTTAAAATTTTGTGCTCACGTGTGTCTGGAGCTGTGGTGTAGAATCTGCACTGTCTATGGATGCTAGAATGTGTCTCCGCTGTATCCGACCCCAGACTCCATCATTTTCTCTTCTCTGGGCCAGGAGTGTTTACAACCTTGTCCCTACAATGTGGATAATAGGAAACTTGATTTTATTGTAGAGGGGAATATATATGTAAATATAAAATAAAGTTAAAAGTAAACAATATGCTCTTTTTTTCTTTAATTTTAAATTTCAGAATTGGGGGAGGGGAACAGTGTTGGGGAACTGGGGGACCAGCCAAGTTGTTCTTTAATCTTCGTTGTGGAGGGCACCAGTCGCCATCTGGCTGCTGAGCCATCCAGGCAGCAGCTCAGCTCAAGGTGCTGAGTTCAGTCTTAGTTGTGGGTGGGCATAGCCCACCATCGAATAGGCAGTCTTGTTCTTAGGAGCACGTGCTCTCACCAGCTGAGCCATCCTGCCATCTGTTGGCAGTTCATTGGCACTCAGCACTGGCCCATGTGGGAATCGAACCAGCGGCCCTGTAGCTCAGAGCTCGCGCTCTTAAGCTAACTCTTAACCAACTGAGCCACTCGGCCGGCCCCAACAATATGCTCTTTGAAAAGGTTGTAGAGTGTGTCATTCTCCAGTCAGTGTTGCACTTTTAATTTGTTGGGCTTGTTTATATGCTCATGTTCCCTAAAAGGAATAATTAGCAAATTATTCCTTTATCCTAATGAAGGCCTAGTTAATAATGTTCAAATAATCAACATTACGACTTTTTTTAAATCATGAAAATTCCCTGCTATAGTTGGAAATAGGATTGTTTCTTATATTTAAAACATATGTTCCACCCTGGCATGTTAGAATAGTATAATTAAGGATTATTGTTACAGTTGAACAATGTATTTATTTAAAGAAGGATTCCCCAAACAAATTAAGTTACTTAAAATGTTTCTGGAATCTGGCTTTATAAACTTTCATCTAAACCATGGGTCGACAAACTTTTGAAACAGAAGAGCCAATCCTGTCCCTCACAACAATTTAAAAATTATTCGAGAGCCATAAATATATTTTTACATAATCACCATTATGTTAATAATATCCTTTAAAATTTTATAAATGAAACTATGATAGTTTTATTTTCATTTTCAGTTTTACTTCAGAGCCACAGGTACATACCCAAAGAGCCGCGTGTGGCTCGCGAGCCACAGTTTGCCGACCCCTGATCTAAACCATAGCAGTTCTAGTTAAATGCAGACCTGGGGATGGTTCTTCAAGTTTCCGCTTCAGCTTCTATAAGGAAAGGGGTCAATATGTTTTTAAAGAAACAGTTTTAAATCTCAGAAGACTTCTCCCACATGCCCTCATTTGTGCCTTATCCAACTCCCAGTCCTTTTTTTCATTACCCATCTTCTGTTCCCTATCTGCAGGGCCTCAGCCAAAGAAAGAGATTTCTAGATAACTCCTGTATCTTAATGAACATGTTAATGAAAGTCGTTTTCCCCATTTCTCCAATTTTTTAGGTTTAGAGGCTTTCTTAATTACAATGACCAGGTATCTACAGAAATTTCTTCTCATCACCACAATAATAAAAAGGCTGTCTGGACACCTTAAAGAAGCTCATTATAAAACTAATGTGCAAAAAACAAATAATGAGGAATAGTCAGGAAAAAGAGAGAAACAAGAGTGACTAGTCCTAGCATATATTAGACATACTATAAAACTATAGTAATTAAAACAGTGTGGTACTGTCACATTAACTGTTAGTTCAATGGCATAGAATTAAAAATCCAAAAATAGACCTAAATACATGTGGGAATTTAGTTTACAGTAAAAATGGCATTTCAAATCTATGGAGGATTTAATAAGTGTTATTGGGACAACTGGAAACTAGAAAACTGTTAAGTTGAATCCATATCCTTTTCTTTATACCAAAATAAATACCCAGTGGTTTAATAACTTAAATGTGAAAATGAAACCCATACCTGGGTTTAGAAATGAAACAGATTGAACGTGAGTGATGATTTGTTCAAGCCAGATGATGGATACATGGAGGGTTCATTGTACTATTCTGTATACATTGTATATTTGAAATTCTTCATAATTAAAAGTTTAAAAAGTGAAATTAATAAAAATACTTGATGAAAACATGGAATTTTAATATTAATAGGAACCTTAGAGTGAAGGTCTTTCTAAGTATGATTGAAAACCCAGGTACCATAAAAGATTGAAACATTTTATTTCATTTACTAATTAATTTATTTAATAAACATGCAGCACCTTCTCTTTGAAACAACACTATAAGAAAAATCAAGGAACAAAAGAAAACAGGGAAAATTTTGTAACTTACAGAAAAGCCCTAATTTTCTTAGTAGTTAATGGTATTCTATAATTCTATTAAAAATTATGCTCCAAGTTCATGAAAAAACAGAAAATATTCACAACTTTACTCATAATAAAATAAATACAAATTAAGACTACACTTAATCTGTGTCTGTTAGGTTGGCAAAGATCAGAAGGTTTTGATAATAGAACGTGTCAGCAAGAGTGTGGGAAACAGGTACTGTCAGTGATTGGTAGGTTAATGTAAATTGGTACCACTCTCTGGAGAGTCATTTGTCACTATTTGTCACAAAAATTGCAAGTATCTCCAATCCAACAATTCTACTTCTAGGAATTTATCTTACAGATAAAATTTGTACATGTGCAAAATGATATAAGGATATTCATTGCAGGATGTTTATGGTAGCGAGAGGTTGGAAACTGCTTAAATGCTCATCAGTAGGGCGTGTGTGTGTGTGTGTGTGTGTGTGTGTGTGTCCTTTCAATGGACTATGCAGCAGCCTTGATACATTATGAGGCAGCTCTAATACTGATTTTGAGAGATTTTAAGAGAAAAAAGTAAGGTGTTAGAATACAGCATATAACGTGCTACTATTTCACATCTCTGCCTGCATGAACGTGTACAGAGACAGTCTCCGGAAGGGTACATATGAATTAGTATGGGTTCTCTGGAGGGGGACCAAGTAGCTGGTGGATAGGGGTGGGAGGACAGAGACTTATTTTCACTCTCCAGTCACATGTACTTAGAGAATTTTATATCATGCGTATGTATTACCAATACTATTATAAAATGATTCTTTAAAATAAAGTTTCTTTCCCTTTCAATCTGTATGCTGTAGAAGTCAAGCCCCTGTGCTCTCTAGTGAGTGAAGTAGTAAACCGTGGAGCATGGCTCCTGGGCCTTCTGTTTTGGCTGCTGAGAGGCCTTTCTGTTGACTTCCTCTCAGCCATGTTCTAGAAATAGAATATGTTGCTACACCACTGCGTTCTGGTTGACACGTGGTACTGTGTGCCCAACTGGTGGTCCCCTCTGTGTGCTATTTAGGGGCAGATATCAACTCAAAATTTTCTCCTGTATTTATAATGTGTAACTGGATTCATAAATATCATTGCAGAGCAAATCCATCCCCACCCCAAATCACACAGAATGTTACCGTTAATGTGACATGGCATCAAGTGTTTATTTGTTAGGGCGAGGTGTTCAGATATGTGGACTTTGGGCCATCAAGGTAAATTTATTTCTCTTGGAAGTCAGACAGGTCAGAGATTGGACCTCAGCTCCATGATTTACCGGCTATGAATTCTGGACCTGTATCTTAACCTCTCTGATTACTCCTGGATTATTGTGAGGATGCGATGATGATGATGGCGGCAGTGGTGCTGGCAACAACAGAACAGTAACAGCTAACAGAGAGTGCTCGCTATGCGTCTGACACTGCTGAATGAGGGTTTCACATGCTACGTCTCCTTTCCTCCTCACCACAAGGCAATAAAGAAGATGTATTCTTTTCCCCTGCTTTACAGATGAGGAAACTGTCTTAGAGAGGCTATAGTTTGTTGAGCACACACAGTTGGACATTGGTGGAGACTGAATTTTAACCCACTTCTAGCTCCAAAGCTCTGTGCTATAAGTCCCCCCCTGTGTTCTGCATAACATGCACACTTAGTAGGTACTCACTATCTGCTCCCTTCTTTCCTTACAATCTTGGGAGTAGAATAGGACTTAGGTTATTGCTATGACCTAAAGTAACAATTCTGTGTCTTTGAGAAATCTTACCAAATGTGAAACACATCTAAGTACTGATCAAATATGAATTTTCTTTTCTTTCTAGACAAATGAACTTGTGTTGAGCTTGGAAGAGGACGACAGGCTCCTGTTGAAAGAAGACAGCACTCTGAAGGCAGCTGGAATCGGTGAGAAGGAGTGTGGTGCGGTGCGGTGCTGGAGGGGGCACGGGCTTTCCTGGCCTGCGTGGTGATGCCTGGCTGATTATATTAGGCTAACTCACCCCAAGTAAATGCCACCCTTGGCGCTCTTTACACTATCTGATAATTATTCAGAGGAAGAGGACAAGAATGATAGACATTCTGATCATTTAATGGAGGGCAGTGGATATCTGCTCTCTACATGTTCCAAATGCAAATAGTGTTTTTCAGAAGGTATGCTCAGAATTCCACTGAGGGTTATTTTAAGTGATTGACAGGTTAGTATTCCTTTAATAACCTACTTACTCTTATCAGCATCATTTGAACTGATGGTTTGTGAGAAATGGGCCCTGGTAGAACTAGGGTAGAATAATGAAGTGAGATATTGTTTGTAGAACGTGCAGCATGGTTCTGATAGTCATCCAAATCCTCAGGGCTGACTAAGTCATGGAATTTCAAATAGGAGCCTAGTGTGTGCCGCTGAAAAATTGCCTGAGTTAGCCTCTCATCCTGGAAACAGCATATAGTTCTAATTTAAAGAAACGCTATGTGACATATTGTGTGACCATTAGATGTCACTCTAATTCTACTTACATGTACACGTCTAAAGATTATCTGGCAGTACGAGTGAAGATTTTAAGAGAGGTATGAGCAGTTGAAGGCATTAGGCTTTGTGGTCAGTGACTAATGAAATAGCACGAATCACACCTTATAATTCTTTATATGCACTGGTTAAGGAGTACTCTAAATGAGGTCCTTGTTAAGAAGCCTTACATTTTTGACAGGTGTTCTGTTGAGTTATTTTAGTCACATGTGTCAGGAATTTTCTTTTGAGTGATACATGTGGCTAAATGAATTCCTGACATATCTTCCATTTAAATAGGATTTTAAATAACATGTTAAGAAATCTTAGACTTGTTTTGTGTGTTGTCTATATTATTTGCTAGATTTAGTGTCTTTCCATATTATGAATACATGATTGACCACACTACGAATACATAAGATGGATTGCTATTTTTTGAAAAAACAATTTTTATTTTGGCATTTATTTCTTTAAATGCTATTGTAGTATCATAGCAGGTAGCACCTGTGCTGTTGAGGCTCGTGGCCCCTAAGAGCTAGCCCTGCTTGTTGTTAAAGCATAAAGCTATACTGAATATAACAGGCTGGTATTTATGTAGGAATTGACAGGTCCATGGAAAAGACTGGAAAATCCAGAAACAAACTGAAAAAAATTAAGATTTCACAATATGATAAAGTTTTGATATCTCAGATAAGTGGGGAAAGAATGAATTATCCAGAAAATGATGTTGGGCCCATTGCTAAAGCATTCAGGAAAATAAAATTTAAATCCTTATCTCAGTCTTTATTCCAAAATAAATTCTAGGTGGCTTAAATGTTATAATGTAAAATTTTTAAAAAACAAAATGTAGCTCAATCGTTTTATAATCTTGGGGAGGAGAAGAGCTCTCTAAGCGTGACCTTGAAGGTAGAGCCGTAGAGTGGAGAGAAGTGATAGATTTGACCACAAAAACTAAAAACAAAACAAAAGTTAACAGAATTAAAGGAGAAGCAATAAACTATGAGAAATGTATTTGCAGCATAGATGACAAATAAAAAGCTATTAGCCTGACTTTATAAAGAGCTCTTATAATTAGTATGAAAAAGATAAACAAGAAATTCTACTGATAGAAGAAGAAATAGCTAACATATAAAAAGTAATTCACCCTTATTAGTCATAAGAGAAATGCACATGAGAATAGACACTGTTGTATACAGTATACTAGTTTAGTGGTTAAGAATTAGAGCCTGGGGCCAGAGTGCTTGGGTTCACAACCCGATTCTGCGACTTACTGTCTGGGTGACCTTGGACCAGCAATAATTATAAGACGAGCACACATGAAGAAAAGTGGTAGCATTGGGAAATGGTACTCTCACGTACTACTGTTGGGAACATGTATTACCTCTAACTTTTTGTTGGTCAATTTGACCAATAAGGCTTTCTCAAGCTTAGCGTGCTGTCATATTTGTTACCAGGCCAACAGGAGCGTGCTTCCTCAAGCTCTGTGACTCCTGCAAGGCTGTGATAATGCCTTCAGAATGGTGGTGGTGTTTTCTCTCATCTTTCCTGTTTGTGAATCACTTATGTAGAGCTTTATTTATTGACTGGAAATAGAATATATTGTGTGATACCATTATTGTTCAAAAATGTATACATTTACATGTCTGTATGCATATATGGAGAAAGGATCATATGCCAAAATTATAGAAATAGCTTCTCTGGGAGGTGGCATTGCCCGGAATTGATTTTTTTCTTTCTTCTCCATATTATCTAATTGTTCTTGTAATTTAACATTTTTCTACAGTTTACATATATTACTTGAAGTTCAGGAACCAATTTTAAAGAATGAAATCTTAAAGTTGGAGAAAATTGATTTGAACAAAGGCTCTGCACTTTACGTGCTTTGTGACCTTCTGTAAGCCATTTAGCCTCTTTGAACTTCGATTTTGATTTCTATGAAAAACAAAATAGGAATAATTAAACCTATTTCAGAAGGTTGTCATAAGGGTTGAGTAAAAGAATGTATATGAAAGCATCTGGAAGAATGCATGCAGAGGCCCTCAAAAATCCTTATTTTATTTGGAAACCAGTTTGGAGACGGCAATTGGCAAATGTTTTGAATTTATTAAAATGTTGAGTTGTTGGTGTAATTGTCATTCATTTCAGATTTATGTAATGAACTACCTATCAAGGTGAGAATCAAATCCCTCTTTTTGTCTTTCTTGTTTCAAGGCCATAGGCCTTTGGTTGAAATCAGGTACTTTTCACAAGGTCTCCATTAGTTTTGGGGTGGTACAAGAGCTTCCACTGCCCTCTGGCCTGGCAAGCCTGCAGCCCTGGTCAGGAGCAGCTTTGCTTCTGCCAGGACTGATTTCCTCTTCTGCACATTCCGCTCTTGCCTAGAGCAGTGTTGGTGTGCTCTGGAGAACAAGCCTGTTACACAGGAGGAGGTGTAATGGTCCCTGGAGAGCGACAAAAAATTCTAAGCGGGAGCAGGGTTGTAAAAATGATCCATGAAGTGTGTGATTTTTCTAGGGAATTTTCCCTCCCTTGGTGCCGTGTCTGGTTAGATTCTTAAGAGGTTTAAGAGAAAAATCCCAAGTCATCGCTCTTTCCCTTTTTACCACTTGATCTCGCCATGGAGCTGTCACTCTGCTATCACAGCCAGTTGCCATGGGAATAATGCCAATGTAACAAATTTATCATTATGACTTTTCTGCAGAATTCATGAAAGGAAAAGAAAGACTGAGGGGAGAAATTAGAGGAACAAACTTGTTTGAAGATTTTTCTCACAGAGAAATTCTCCGGTCCCTGCTCTGGCCTTTTATCTGCATTGCAGATCCCAATTGTGTATTCTGCCTAAACGTCAAGGAAGTTTTTGTTTGCGGACTTAGTGCTAAAATACTTAAGTGAAAAGATGTGCTTTGTGGAAGGAAAAAGAAGGTTTTACCTAGAATTGTTACTTACGATTTAAAGATTTTTACTTTGTTTTTAACAATTGTAATTTTATGGCTAATTCCCTTAAGTAATAAATTTGCATGTAAGTTCCTTTTTTTGGGGGGGCGATATTTTGTCTTACATTTTTCTACGTTGTACAACTATTTACACCTTTTGAATCCTCTCTGGTTTAGGAAAGAAATTGTGGCAGGATAACTCTTCTAAAGCCCGTTGTGTTTTATTGAAAAAAAATTTAAAACAAGACACAGTGGACTGAACCCTAAGTATAAGTCTGAGGGAAGAGTTCATGTCAAGCCAGATCCTATAATAATCTCCAAACTCCGTTGTGGTTTGGTTTCATTTTGCGTGTCACTCCCGTCGTCTGCCCACAGCCAGAACCCCCCAACCCCCATCTTTGTGCCTAACTAACAACTTTTGGTTATCTCATGCATACAGCTAACATTGTAGGGTACCTAGCCTCGCATTTCTTTATCAGGGTCACGTTTGATTTGTGTTTCCTTAAGGTTTTGGTCCCTGTCCCATTTTGGGGGGGCGGGGTGGTAATAGTATGTTGGGGCATTCATGCTTTCCTCCTTTGACAGAGCTTTAAGGTGGCTGTTGTTCATGTTCACATAATAACAGAGAGGGTCTGGGACTCGGTAAAGGAGGCGTGGGCCTGGGGAATTTGGGATTCCAGAGCCAGGGATCAGAACGAACCGCCTATAGTTTATTCTTCCCTTTCAACCCTCCCCTTGCCGTCATGAAAATCACAGGCCTGTGTCCTGTCTATCTAAGGTCATATTTATTTTACTATTTGTTTTCTTCAAACTGTGGTTTAAAATCTTCTTTGCCAGCTGATCTAAAACACACACTTGGCACAAAAACAAAATAAAAAGCACAGTAATTGGGAACTCTTAGCTGGATTGTTGACCTCCTCCGGCTAAAACTTAGAAATGCAACTGAGCGGCGAGCACGTTTTGAATGATTTGTAGTTTAGGATTTTGTGAAACTTGGAAGGATAACATATATTCCTGGAGCAGGAGATAGAGAGAGAGGGTGAAGCTTTGTCCTTTTGGTCTCAAATTGCTGCAAAGCGTCCCCCCCTCCTGTATTAATTATTATTATTATTATTCCAATAATCCACCGTTATTCTCACATCACAGCCTGTCCTGATTATCATCTGTACCACGAATCCTCAGTATATGTGTTGGGCTCTGTTATCAGTCAGCACTTACTCTGCCTTATACTCTGGTGCTGACTAGTCCGCGGCTGGGGCCTTAGAAACTATGCAGCCCACCCTCATCCATAGGCGAGCTTACTGAGTTCAAGTCCATTGTATTTAATTTTTCTTGAGATTTTACATTTATAATTGTTTTTTCTTGCATTCTTTTAAAATCATTATTTCCCTGTTAAAGGGGTAGGGGTGTGTGTGTGTGTGTGTGTGTGTGTGTGTGTGTGTGTGCGCGCGCGCGCGCGTGCGCGCGCGTATGCGTATCTGTCTGTCTGTGTCTGTCTGACCTGTTTGGAAACATTATAAAATGGTTCCTTTCATATCCAAAGTTTGAATGCCCTGGCTTGTGTTTATTTCATTAAACTTGAAAGTCAGTATTAAAATAATCCACAGATGTATTTGGAGGTTCTTACTTGATTACATTTGATAGTAAGACGAAGGGGGATGAACCGGCGATGTATTTATTGGATTTTAGATTGCACATTCATTTCAGACTCACATGCCAGGGACTGTGCACCTGAGTGCACTGCCGCCTGCAGCGCGTTTAATTTAAAATCAGGTGCCCTAGGGGACCCACACATAGACTTCCTGAGGGTGCTTCCAGAGCCATTTTAAATAGAATTTGGGAAGCAAGAATTTAAGGGATAGTGGTGGAAAGGGTGATTATGTAGAGGTCTCGGAAATCTTTTGTAATTCATTTTTCACTTTAATTGGCAAGTAAATTGCAGTATAAGTACATTAAATCATTCTCTCAAACATTTTCAACAGAGTTTAACAAATTTTGAAAAACATTATACTCTGTTTCTGTTTGAGGACCACATTACTACAGTTTAAAATCCAGTTTATGTCTTACTTGTGAATGTTCAGGGTAACTAGCTTTTATGTTATTTTCCAATTTGTTAAGGGTAAGAATTTTTATCAAGCTGAAGTATTTGAGTTTAACTCATTTGTCAATCTAGTTTTCCTGAAAAAAAAAATGCCTTCATCTGAAAGTAAAATCTTTATCTTGGATGATCTCATTTTGAGCCAGCATTATAAGAGATGGCATAAATACTTTATATAACTAATGGATTGATCTATAGGTTAATTAGACCTAAGAGAACCTCCATGTCAAAACAAAAATGCTTTGTCAGTCCTTTCTTTACGTCAGCTTGTTCCAAACCTGTTATTACTGTACTGAAAAGCTGTACGATCAGAAGGGGTACAGATAAATGTCAACTGCTGTAAGTGAAAATTGTAATTACAGTTAGTGTGTGTGGAGCGAACTGCTGTGTGGGCAAAGCGCTGTGTAAAGTTCTGTATGTAAATAGCACGTCGTAGAGAAAACCTTGCATTGTGATTATTAACAGGCTGCTTTTGCTCATTCTCCATTAGAAGGACTATTAGAATCACTTGCAAATTATGTAAATCTACCTTTGGTCTTGGTTTCCTTCAAAAAAGGAATCCCCAGGAGCTTTTTATATAAAGTTTAGGTTTCAAAATGTCTTATCTTTGATTATTGGATTTTTTGAAGCCCCCTTTTCAATATTTTCCTGTTTCCCACTTACCCATTCTTTTATTATAAATGCTTTTCTTTGATACAGTTTAACTGTACATTAACTGAATATATGTACCCCTCCTGGTTGATTCCCAGTCTCTCTCTGCTATATCTTCCCCCACACCCCCCAGGACTCATTGTGATGAGAGTTTGCAACCTGCTTTTCATCAAGATTAATCTTCACTGAATCTTGAAGGTGCAGCATTTTTTATAATGAGCATGGGTAACTTACGATTGAGAAACATTAAATTTGATAATCTTAAAACCAGCAAAAACATTTGTAAGGAAACGTCATGCTTAGTCTTTCATTTTCTTTTGTGACAAATTCTAATGATGAGATGAGAGTTGCAAATGAAGTGGTAATCCTTGGTGTCCTTCCTTATTATCCTATTTATTTGTCTTGAAGAGTTTTTCTTGTCTGTTTTTAGAGGATATGTTAATTGAGTGATCAGTATTCATTACAAATAATCTTGTCTGTTTTCTTGTGGAGATTCTGAGGGCCCTTTTGCTCTTTCTGTAAAAGCTAAGCAGACTGTATTAACTTCTGGTTTAATTTAAAAAACAAATGTGGAACTTGTTGGCGTAACACCTTAAAGAATTGCATGTTTAATAATTGGAAGGCTTTCCATCAGATTTGTCTCCAGTCTGAATTAATAATGTTGCTGACTTATTGTTTTAGAAGACGGAGTCCTTGACCTGCTAGGTTGAAAGAATTGTGACTGCTCTGAACCTTTGCGGGTCCTTTAGCTGCGCCATATCCCCTGTGAATAATTAGAGGTATTTGAAGGTATTGCAGTAGATGCCAATTTGTGTCTTTCACTTTGCATATTGTTGAAGCCTCATGAATTAATCATAAGCAGGCAAAAAATTAACTTCTTCAGACACATATTTTGATGGGTCATGAGGGAGAATGTAAAGTGATCTGTAAAATATTCTACTGATCCTCTGAGTATTAAATTATTATACCTACAGGCTAATTTCAGAGGAAAAAATAGTTCTTCCTCCTCCTTCAGTAATTGAGTAGCAAATTTGAAAAAAATAAAGGTTGTTATTTCCTAGGACTGTTAGGGGGACTACAAATAAGCTATTTTATGATTTCCTGAAAACCAGATTCTTGAAATAATTCTTGTTTTTAATTTTTTTTTTTTTACTTTTAAATTATTTGAATTCTAGATTCTTACAACTACAACATATACTTTTTGTTGATTTGATGAAATGTGAAGCCAAACAAATAACTCATCTTTCTCACTGTAGGCCCCCAAAGAACTGAATCAAAGTAATATGGGTTTCTATACTTGTTTAAAATCCAATTTTACATTAACATTTTTTTCTGTTTTTCTTTTTTTCAGCTAACGAAACTGAAATTGCATTCTTCTGTGAAGAAGATTATAAGAACTACAAAGATAATCCCATTTCATCCTGGTGAAAAGTCAAGGGGGCTTCCTCTTTGTGTACCAATATTAAGCTTTTTATTCCACTAGTGAGTTTTGAAATTGACAAATAAACTTTAAAAATTAATCCCAGGCTCTGCTCTTTGAGTTAAAATCTGTGGTGTTTTCTGTCTTTGCAAGTCTCATTTTTCTTTCTTGTAAAATAATATATTTATTTATGAGAAAACGTTTGATTTTTTTTAAGTGAGGAAATAATTATTCAGAAATCATCATGGAATATTGATTCTTCAACCATAATTTGTTTTCCTTAAATTAGGGGATATTTTGGCGATTTGCATGTTGGATTCTTTAAAAAGATTATTAAGACCGAGGTGATTCTGTATGTTTTGTATTTTTTCCATAGTTTCTTTTTATTTTTTTTCAATTCATTATTTATTTTGGTATAATATATTTGCCTTCATATAGTCATTATTTGGAGTACCTACATATAATTTAGAATATTTTATTTTATTATTTTTTTATTGATAGTTTCAGGTGTACAGAACAATGCAATAGCTATCCTTTTCACCCTTCACATAGAAACAAC